AGCTCTTTAAGTGATATAAATCTGTCAGAATGGTGCAAGCCTCTTGCAGGAGCCTAAGTATTTCTTTGTATCCTGCTTTGCTTCTATACCCATTAAGCTTTTTAGCTTTCAGAAGCAATGACAGTACAGGTAATCTGAAACTTACCACCTTTTCTTTAGCAACTGTTCACAGTTACAACAGTGCTGAGATAAAGTGACTAATGATTATCTCAGTGTCCCATCAGTCACATGATTGTGATGCAGGTGCTTGGCAATTTTCATGCATTTGAAGCAGTTGTAACATTCTAGGGCAGTGATAGTGAACCTATGGCACGCATGCCACAGGTGGCACGCGGAGCCATTTGTCAGGGCACGCAAGGCGCTGCCCTGTCAGATGGCCAGCGCGCATGGTGTGTTGGCCAGCTGAGTTCACCCTTTTTTAAAGCCATTTTTCACCCTCCCCAGGCTCCAGAGTCTTTATAGGAGCCTGTGGAGGGCGAAAAGAGCCTCCCCTAACCTCCCCGGAGGTCCTCCGGAGCTTCATGAGCTTCCTGAAGCTCTGGAGCGCAAACAAACGGCCCTACGGGCAAACCCGAACTTCAGGAACGGACTTCCTGTTTGCTCAAAGGGTCATTTTGACTGCTCCAGAGGCTTCAGGGAAGCCTCCTGAAGGTCCCCGAAGCCTTCGGAGGGCTCAAAGCGACCCTCTGAGCAAACCGGAAGTGACTTCCTGTTTGCTCGGAGGGTCATTTTGACTGCTCCGGAGGCTTCAGGGAAGACTCCTGAAGGTCCCTGAAGCCTCAGGAGGCTTCCGGGGGGGGGGGCAGAGGAGGCTGTTTTCACCCTCCCCAGGCTCCTATAAAGACTCTGGAGCCTGGGGAGGGCGAAAAAAGCTTGCAAAAAATGAGGAGAGTGCCTGTAGTGCGTGCATGCACACGGGGGGGGGTGTCGCGCATTGCATTATGGGTGCAGCACGCCCACACACGACTCCCAACTTACGCGAGCCAAAAAAGGTTCACCATCGCTGTTCTAGGGTCACTTGATTGCCTTTTGCAAAGGCTTCCAACAAGCAAAGTCAATGGGGAGGTCAGCAGGGAAGATCACAAATGGCAATCAAATGAAGTTTCACTCAATGACCATGGTGATTTAGTTAACAAGTACGGGAAAATGATCATAAAATTGGGTGCAGTCAAGGTCATTTAATGACCATACCATTTAACAACAAAATTTTCAGCCCCTATTGTGGTTGCAAATCAAGGACTAAACTTGTATTCAAATAAAAAGACTTGAGTACATAGATCCTAGGAATGGCTTGTTTCAACTCACAGAGAAGGAGATTCTTTCATTATATACACTACCATATAAAACCTGGGGGAAATTGCATTCTATTTATAATAAATGTAGTCATCTACTTCAATTAATATGCATTCTGGAATAAAACAAATTAACGATTTTGCCTCTATAACTGTTAAAAAACATAAGCATGATACGTCATACACTGTGCACCACACTTCAAATTTAGTTTAGCACATTTGAAAAATTAAATATTTCCTAACAGAAATACCCCCTTTTACTTATTTTTTATATGTAGTAAATATTTGCAAAAGGGCAAATCTGTATGGTTGTGTTTTACTATTTTAAATGTATTTTATATTCCTGCTGCTCAAGGCTTGCTATATAATTTCAAACACCACTTTTTAGTCTTTATTCTTTACATTCCTTGATTGTCTTTATTTTTTTAATAGTATAGTCTTTATATTTACAGTTCTAATTTTATTTTTTGTTCAGAAACATTTTATTTTATCTACCTATTCTGAACATTTAAATGCATGCAGTGTTTATTTTAGATACTTAATTAAGACACACAGTGGTGGAAAGGTTTTCTGCATATAGGGTTCCTGTCAGCCAGGGGCTAACAATCTAGAAAAGAACTGAATTAAAATAAAAATTTACATAATATTACATTAGCACAATTACACTGTGATTAATTTTACCGGTTCATAGATGAGGATGAGAATTATGTAGTTAGTTGATTATGTGGCAGGTAATAAGAACAACAACTTTTAGGATAACTTCTTTGAGACCAGTCATACTTTTCATCATCAAAATTTATTGAATGGGAAAAAGGACCAACCTGTTTTCTATCTATGATCCTATGTATTGTCACTGGGAAGGGGAGAGATCGTTTTTTTTATTCTTTTATATTGGGTTTTTATTGTTTGTAAGCCTCCCAGAATCCTCAAGAGTGAATGGGCAGCCATATAAATCTTCTAAATAAATAAATTAAACCAAATGACAGATTATGACTTCACCTTAACACTAACTGCAGCAATTTATTTTCCAGAGCAGAAGGAAATTTGGTGTGTGTATTGAAATAAAGAGGGTTATTTAGAAAGCACTAGACATCCTGTTTGTCACAACTATAAGGTGTTAGATCTTTGCTTGTTAGCTTTTTGTTGTTGTTAGCACTCTTAGAATGGTACAGTAAAGCAATATTTGTATCACTGCTCTCCAGTGGAGACTGCAGAATGCTGTATAAATCATAAAATTATTTGTATCAAATATTTATATACCCCCTTTCAGTTTTCAGAAAAGCAGTTTATACCATTAACATTTACTACTTAAAAATCACTTTCTATGCCTTCTTTTTTCCATACTCACAAATATCCCAACATAGCTTCTTAAGTTATTAAATATATGGAATATTACTTAATAAATTCCAAGAATTCTATCTGAAAGCACTATAGAATTATTATCTAAAGCCATACAATTATTTTGTTTTCAATAGGAACATGATTAGCGTATGATGTGACCCAGTCATTCATTTCTTTAAAACCCTGAAACTGCTGCATTAGTATGCTGATGTTGGAGAAGTTGAAGGAGAAAAATGTTTGCCTTAAAGTTGGTCATTTTGCTCTTTAACTCCCCCTTAAGGACTAAAAAAATTCCCACTCTACCCCGTGACCTCTTGCCACCAGGAGCCCCAGGTGGAGCACAAAGATTATATAGTCCCTATGCTAGAAAAAAGGTTATTTATCCGTGCCTTGCTCTGTGCTTATCTTAATTAGTCAGGCAATCCTTGCAAATGCTAGTTGCTTTTCTCTCCTAATGAACTGAAAATGTACCTTAAATATCTTATTGTGCATTT